TGTACTTTTTAGGTTGAAACATAGCATCAACCACAGCAAATGATATTGTGGAGCCTTCACATCATTCAATGGATAACTACCTCAGCAGCTTGACCATTCATTTCAATCTTAAGGTTGACTTGTACAATTTGAATTGTTATAGCCGTTGATGTGTAAGTTAAAGGCAGCAATTCACAACTTCGGCTGGTTTTCAAGTATTTTCTTAATTGAGCTAAATTTGTTTAGTTCTTACTGAGTTCTAATTTGTTTACTCAGCTCAAGCTTGACTAGCTCGTTATAAAATTTATAGGCTTTGAGTTCGGCTCGATTACTCGAGCTCGTTTGGAAAGCTCAAGCTTGACTCAATTGTTGAGTTCGATTTTTTAGTTTTAAATGTTTAATTTTTTTTAATAATTAATGTTTTTTAACATTTAATTAATTTAAAATTATTAAAATATATTATATTATAATAATTAATTTAATTTTTAAATGTATTTTAAGTTAATCCAATGACTAAACAGGCTTTCGAGTTAAGCCAGGCAGAGTTTGAGCTCAAGCTCGTTTAATATACGAGATCGAGTATAGGCTCGTGCTCGAACTCGTGGCTCAATAAGAATGACTCGGGAGCTTGAGCTAGCTCGGCTCACTTGCACGTCTAATCTTCACCATATTTTGAGATCAAAAAAATTTTCACTCACTTCTCTTATTCCAAAATAATAATAATTACAATAATAATTTAATATTTTAATACAAAATATATTAAGATGAACTTCAAGATCATCCGATTTATATTAAGATTAGTGCTATTCAAAACATCATGCATAAAAGTACTAATCAAAGGATTAATTAGATGATCTTGGTGTTATATGTCGATGTGTAGGACGATTTTTTTATTGATTCTTAAAGCCGGTTTTTAGTATAAAAATTAAAATTGTTGTATTAGAAAATTACTTTAATAAGTAATAAGAATTAGAGCCACCCAAATGAAGCCTTAGACATAATAAAATTTCAAGATCGAAGTACTTTTGTAATTTTGTTGATTATTGATCAAAGAATGTGCTCGCACAATAATTGTTTTGACATATTTTCTAGCAAATTTGAGTTCTAATCCAATTTTAGTACGATAAGCACAATATTAACTTTCAAAAAAAAATTATTTTAATTTGTGAAAAAAAATCACGTTTAAGTTTTTGGTAGTTATGAACTTATGATTAAGAATAATATTATTAATACGGCTATAAATTATAAAATAGCCATTATTTTTAGTTTGAATATAATAGTGATATAACTAATGAAAAAGATTATTAGAAGTTCAATATATGAATATATAACCTATTTAAGAAAAAAAATCTGGAATTTAATAATTTATTTTTAGGAGAAACATAAATGCAGAATAAAATTTCAATTTTTTTGTGATACTAAATCTAGTTTATTTTCAATGTATTTTGAATATGCTCAATCCATGCGAATTACAAATATATTGCTACTTCGAAATGTCATTGGCCATTGTCGTCATGCCCACCATACCTACCACCGATTAATAGCTGCCATTGATGTTGCCCGCTTGCCCCGTCGCTATTGTCGTCTACTTCTTTAGTGAATTAACGTTCTCTCATGTTTGGAGCTTTCAGAGAATTTTAACCCACCTAAAACTTGAAGTAATCAAAGTACATGATCTTATTTCAAACTTGATGTTATTATATAATGTATACTCATCCCGTACTTAAAGTTGTCGTCGAAAACTTAGAACTCGCCTCATGCTTGAAATCGAGAAAGAGCCAAACCCGTCTCATATCTGAAGTCATTATATGTTGTGAAGTAATGAGAGAATTTGAATTCATCTTAGGTTAAAGTACATGGAGTGACTAAACTTTTAGCATACTTGGAGTCATTAGAATCTTTGAACTATTTGTAACTTGAAGTTAACTAATAGCTTGAACTCGTGTCAAATTTGAAGTCATCATAGAATCTAAGGCTTCATTTGGGACGGCTTTTTTACTGCTTCTTAAAACGACTTTCTGGCACAAAAATTAAAATTTTTCTACAAAAAAGTCGTTTTAAGAAGTAATAAAAAAGTCATCCCAAACAAAGCCTAAATTGGTATCAGGCTTGAAGTCATTAGAAATCCAAAACTCATCTCATGCTTGTAGTCACTGAAGACTTCGAATTTGACCGAGTCTTAAAAGTCAGTAGAAAGCCTAATTAATCACAAACTCAAAGTCGCTTGAAAAAGACTTCAACTTGTATATTGGATTTACCAACAATTGCACTCATCTAAAGAAGAGTTCAGCTTATCAATTGAACTCATCATGTTGATCGCAAATCTATATCAAAAATATCTCACAAGTTCGGCTAAAGCCAAGGCTGGTTTAGTTTAGGAAAAGGTTTGCGGTTCATATATATAGCTGATGGGCCCAATAATTCATTATGCTTATACAAGATG